GAACCAGAGCTGATCACGTGCCAACCTGACTTGCTGAATTGCCATGAGCCCCTCCAGTGTGTTTCCTGAATTGCTACCAGCTTCACATCCTGAAATGCGGCACTTTGCAGTACGGAGAGTAACTCTTCCCAAACTGCTGTTGTGAGAGATCCTGCGTTCCAGGATAGATAGCTGAGATTCTTATCTTCTGTAAATTTTGAAGGCCGAGTCCTTCTGCCGGGATTGGTGGGCTTTACATGTGCCGGAGCAACTCCAAGCTCTGTTGACGACATCGTCCTTCCCTTGTAGACCGCACTACCTTCAAGCAGAGCTTTACGTGCTGCCCTTTGATAAGAGCGTTTACCCTTCCCTTTAGGAACGGGCTGATGCTTGGTCGAACCACTAGGCTGTTTCGCAGCACTCATGTTGAGTACGGCTCCTGTCGGCTTCGCAATACCGACAACCCTCACCTCTGGGAGATGTTAGAGAGCTGTAAATCTAATACTCCCTCCCGGACTTGGGACCGGGACTGCTCAGGCGCTGACAAATGCCATGGCAAGAAAGGAAAAGGGCAACTGTACTAGCCTGACCTTTCCTGAGCCGAGAGGCTTAACACAAATGACAAACACAATAACAAGAACAACAACAAGAACAGCAAACCAACAACAACCGACAACAACCAACAACAACATACAACAACCAGCAACAACCAACGTCAACCAACAACAACCAACATCAACCAACAACAACGTCCCCAACAGCAACAGCAACAGGTGAAGCAGCAATGCACATCAACAACAAAGGTTCAGGACAACAGCTACAATGGTTTACTTCGTCCATTATTACGAATGAGAGCGACATGGATAGTAGTCAGTTTTGTCGAAGCATTTGGCCCGATGGCTCCTGGCAGTGCTCGCTTCAAGCTCGGCCCAGGTTTGGGATGCTTTTCAACCGCTTCCACCTCAATGCGACACAGGCCTTGGCAAGGGACTCAAAGCTGGGGTCAGATCTGTGTCTTGCTGAAATGTCTCGATAGCACTATATGGGTGGTTGTCAAAATTAGGGCCCCTTTTTGGGTCCTAGTGTAGTACGGCACCTAATTTTTAGGGGTACCCCAAAAGGGGCCAACCACCCATGTATCGACCCAGAGCTCGTGTCGACACCTCTCGTGGAACGCCCGAGAGTAAGAAATGACACCCGACACGATGCAACTTTGTCTGGTCGGATCGAAGTGTACATGCCAAGATCCCGAACCCACCCTGGCCACACTGATCTTGAAGCCAATGCCGTGCAGGCCCTGGGACCGGACTTTAACTGGACCAAGCAGGAGCTCTTGGACACGTACTCCACGTACCCCGACCTGCCTGCGAAATATGCGGTTCAAGCTGGAAAAGTTCTACTGGAGGGAAGCGATCTTTCACGTGAGGACCGCTGCTCCTGGCTTTCCAATCCTGAAGTTCCCATCTCCTGCACAAAGATAGGGTCCTGGTTCTGGGCATCGTAGAGTTGCAGGAGTCGGCGGCGGGCTTGGCCCGGGCAGATCCAGCCTCGGTCATGAGGCCTCGTTACGTTGGCGTCGAATATCATCGAATCAAGAAGTGGGTGGAGACTTAGGCTTCAGAGCTTAGGTTAAGGGCTTCAGGGGTTTAGAGCTTGTAGAAAACAGGGGAATACGACAGGTCCCTGGGCCTGCTGATCCTGTCCAAGCCGCTGGCCTTAGATGCACTGGTCATGGGCAACATCGATGACGACACTGCCCGCGGAGCTGTAGGCCCGCTGTAGAGACACACATTGGGAGACTTCGGCCCAAGTTCGAGTTACTTCTGTTTCCTCGCAGGCCAGATCATCCAGTCTATTCAAGTGCCCGATTGGGCTTCTCCTGCAGCGCCAGCCGAGCAGAGAAACCTTCCGGGGGTCCGACCTATCGCCCGTCCCGCGCAGCCTGTCGAAGTTCTGGCCTCGGGTTTATCCAATGGCATCTTGCATGGACGAACTTTTGTGCAGCTGCCTGCCTGCTTGCTACTTCTGACTGCAGTGTTGCGCGTTGCGAGGATAACGGTTCGAAGGCGTTGTGTAAGAAGTTTCAGATATAAATACTTCTGCACGTGCCGGAGGCGAAACATGCAGCGTTGGCTTCCTTGATGCTGCGCACGACCGAAGCAAGTATGTCCACTGAAGAGCGCGACTTCCAAGGTGCGTGCCCGGAATCCACGGCAAGGGGACCCAAATGATGTGGCACTGGTGAAGATTCTGGTGGGTGTTGCCACTGTGGAGAACCGGGCTGCCTTCGGCGCCATCGAAGCTTGGGAGCAAGAAGAGCCTTCAGTGTAATCCCTGTGTGCTCCGTTGTTTGTCGTGTCTTCGAAGGGCCTGATCCTCGGCAACCTGATGTACTCCCATCTCCGAACCGAAGAGCAGCTGGGATATGTGGTGCAAGGCGCAGTTGGCAGCATGTCCAATGCACCTCGACTGCAATGCTGGGCTGGCCGGTGCGCTCGCACGACACGAAAGAGCAGAAGCTGTCGGCGGCATCCTTGCCATATGAGTGAGGTTCTCTATGTCGCAGGACTTGTGCAAGGCACCTCCCGATCTGCTGATGAGATGGAGGCGGCGATCGAAGGCATCTTCTGGAAACGCCTTCCAGACTTTCTGGAAAATTTGACCGCAGATGCGATCGACAGCTACAGGAGACTTGGCAAGGATCGCTGGATTCGCGAGTTTTGCAAAGGGATGGCCTCCAGTGTGCGAGGAAGGCCTTGCTGCAGCAGTACCTGCAGCCTCCCAGCAGCATCGAGGAGGAGCGCAAGCACTTCTTCGGACCTGCCTCTTGGACCTCGAATCTCTCACAGATTTCTGAACTTGGCACGGGTGCTTCCGGTAAATTTCCTCAGAACGCCCCGTGCCACATAATGAGGTCAAGCACCACGGAGCTTGCCAGATGCCCAGATCCAACATCGCGAGAGACCCGAATGAGTCGTGTAGCAGCAGCAGCTGCTGCTGTTGCTGAGCTGCCGTGGCCAGCTGGCTGACACTGACAAGGTTTTGAGCTGCTTGGTGAAGTTGTTCGCTTTGCCAACAGCTCCGACTTCAACAAGGATCTCACGGTTTAGCTGTACTCAGGGCCAGTGGAGGATGTTCTTGCGTTTCCCATGCATCGACTTGAGTCTGCCATGCCTCGAACGTTAAACGGGATTTCTGGAAGGGCTTTGGAACTCCAGCGACGAGCCACTGAAGCTTGTCGAAGGACTTGCTAACACGCAGCTGGTCACAGCTGATGGCGCCAAACCGTGGGTGGCGGCACAAGGCTCCGAGTTATGCGTTTCCACTCGTACCGGCACGATGAGTGCAGTCGGTCTTGCAACTGCAGGTGGTCGTGAAGTACTTCGGCAAATCCGTGCCGGATCGACCTGACTTAACGTCTTCGCGGCTAGCAATGCAGAAACGCGGCGTGCCGGAACCGGCTCTGCCAGACACTTGGACGTTTCGCAGGGTCTCGCAGGGCAGCAGAGCTTTTTATCAATCAATCAATCAGAGACTGCAACTTCAGGTCGCAATTGACGGAAGAGCACCAGAAGACGATGGTCTTGCAAACTGCAGATTCCGCAGCCCGTGTCGCGCTCTCTCGGAGCGACAAACAAGGCAAGTCGATCGGATGACTCGAGCTGTAGTGAGACGCACTTCTGGGGAGGTGACGCCGCTTACTTCCCCACGGACTTGCATTGCCGTCGAGAGCAGGATCCAAGAACAATCAGCTTCCTAGCACGAAGGATGTCAACACGTTGACGCTGCTGCTTGAGCTTGCTCCCAGCAATAGGAACAAAAGAATCCCATGCAGCTTCTTATGCGATCGCCGGAGACTGATTCTGCCTACTTGTAGCTGCCTAGCCGGCCTGGCCCTGTGCGGTGTGCATTGGTCTCTCTCTCATTGCCAAGAATGTCCCTGCCACGAACCGTTCGCGCCTGATCAACCACGCAGAGTTGGTAGGTGTTCCTGTAGCTGTTGAGGTCCAGAGTAAGATCCAGCACGTGTAACGACTGAACTGATGATACTCTATAGCATCTCATAATTGGTACGGAACTGCATGGAAGTGCCCATCGCTTCTCAATGAAGCAAGGTGCAAGATGGACTCCGATACTGTTCGATCCCAGCGCCTCAAATCCCTCCTTTCAGACTTCGGGCTTCCACCCGAAGCCGACGTGCCCCAACTGCAGGCAAGGTACCGCCTCCTCGCGAAGCAGAGGCACCCGGACATGGTGTCATTTCAGTGCCGCAGGCACGCGACCACGGACTTTGTAAAGTTGCACAGTCGATATCGGGAGACGCTGTCTCTGTTGCAGTCCCGCAGCCAGACACTGCCATCATCCAGTGGCGGTGGGTATGGTGATCACATCATCAGTAGCCACAATGGCTTGTTCTACCATGATCCATACAGATGGGCTCCTTCGAAAAGAGATGGACGACGGTGGCAGCGTGAAGCGCATTACGAGCCACCAGCGAGTTGGATGACCAAACTGCGGGGGCTCGCTGTAGTCGGTTGCTCGATGGCGCTTGTGCTCTTCGTCTTTGACAGAACTGCACGGAAAAGGAGCCTGACTTCATGGAACTAGCAAGGGTGAAGGCCTGCGGACCTGTCGATTTCAAGCGGCTGAAGAGGGCAGTGCCCTGCGAAGCACCGAAGCTGGCGAGGGCACCTTCGTCCTGTAGAGTTCAATCGAGACCCGCGAGATCGTGACCGTTGGCCACTTATTCACGACGGCAGATCTGGCAAAGGGCTTCGTTTGAGGCGAGGGTTTGTGCGGCCTCGGGCCTTGCGGCCTGTCAGTGCCTAAGCTCCTCTCGCCAAACGCCGGAATCCTCGGCGCACCTGCTTGGCCAGGCCTCAGGTTTTCAGGCCGAATCTCATGCAGTCTCTCAACCAACCAAACAATCCCGTCAACTTCGTGCGCAAGAAAAGAGGTGTCACGCCAGCTAGGGTTCAACTTCGCTCCATTGTCGATTCCGACTGGCCCTTGCCAGCCAGGTTCCGCTTTGCAGCGCGAGTTCCTGTACATTCAGCTGCAGCCTCAGGCCCGGACATGTGCCGTCATTGCAGAAGTTCCTCCGAAGATAAGGATGGAGTTTTGCGATGGAACTACTCTTCGCGAGGTGGAAGGGTCCAGCAAGAGCAGTGAGGGCTGTTGATGGTCGCTGCCTGCCTTGCTAGCCTGCTGCAGCTGCCAAAGGAGCAACTCATGAAGCTAGTGATGCTCAGAATTACATGGGTGCAGGCCATTGGAAGCGGGGCTCTGCACAAAGATGAAGCACTCATTTGGAAACTGTTCCTCGAAGGCAGAGGGAAGCAGATTGTGGGTCTTGTTGAGTGCTTGCGAAACCGAGGTTTCGCCAAGTACTCGATGCAGAGTCCTTACCTTCTCCTGGCAAACTCCACCTGCACATCTTAGCTGACCGCATCTGGCTAAGCATGGTCAAGCCACAAACGTGGTTGCCAGGCACTTGCGTACATGCATTCACGAGGCCGGAAAAGAGAGTGGAACGGACGAGCGCGGGCTGCCGGAGACGGCTATCGGAGAAGCTGCTTCAAGCATGTTGCGAGGCCTGATACATCGCGATGTGAAGCCGTGCGGGCCTACAGCTTTTAGCAGGTCAATGTTTGCCGAGGCCGCGGCACAAGCATTTGGCACAGCATGTTGTGAGAGTTTTGCCGTCATAGATTGGCTTGATTTTGCTTGACCCAGCTCGAACCGGCGCGAAGTTTCCTGGCAAGTGGCATGAGCATGAGCCGCAGCAGCGGCTTGGTGTTCTAGGTCCCAGCTAGGTGCACGTGCAATGTTTGCATACCGAGCAGGGCAGGACGAACGTAGGGTGGCCGTACACCGAGCCGCGCACCACACATGGAAAAGATCGATGACGACGACAAGCTTGAGGATTGCTTGCAGTTTCGAAAAACTTCGCGGTGTACAGGCCACATGTTGCCACATCCAAAATTGAGGATGGCTAGCCGAACTAGTAGGGCTGACGGTCGGCATGGTAGACCAATCATGAGCATCAGGACAAGAGCTGGGAAGAAAGGTGACAAACACTGGAACATAGCAGTCTCTGTACCAATTGTGCACTCGAGTAGCGACAAAATGCGACAGCAGAGAAGCCGTTGTTAAGAATGTAAGCGGTGGCAATAAGCGTAGTAAGTGGAACTGTGAGTTTTGCTGCTGCTTTGTCTTCTGCCCCAGCTCCTCCTTACTACCGTTAGTCAGTAGGTTTGATGGTGGTTCTTGTCGTTGTCGCTTTCAGATAGGAGTGGAGGAAGTGGAAGTTGTCGTAGCAGTACGTAGCAGTCGTCGAGTTAGGTTACTAGTAGTGAGACAGCAGTGGTCGTCGTAGCAGTAATAGCAGCAGGAGCAGTGTCAAGAGCAGTAGCAGCAGCAGGAGGAGTGTAGCATTTGTCGGAGTAGTCGCCGCCGTCAGTGGCAGAAGTCGTGGTGTTGGTAACAGTAGTAGTGGTGGTAGCACCCAACACAGCAATAGCAGCAGCAATGGTCAGGAGTAGTCGTCGTCGTAGTAGTAGTAGTAGTAGTAGCAGTAGCAGTATCAGCAGCAGCAGTAGTAGCAGCAGCAGCAGCAGCTGGTAGTGGTGGTGGTGGTAATAGGCGTCGTCGTGGTAGTAGTCGCAGTAATGGTTGTCGTCGTGGTGGTGGCGGTGTGGTAGCGACCGGTAGTGGTAGTGCTGCTGCTGTTTCTCGTGGCAGTGGCAGTGTGGTAGTAGTAGTGGTAGCAGTAGTGATGGTAGCAAGTAATAATAGAAGTAGCAACAAGAGTAAGAGAAGAGGCAGAGATCAAGCGAAACTGCTTTTGATAAGACAGAAGCTGCAACGCTGACCACACCCAGTACGACGGCAGTCGTTGCAGTATACCTGCAACCGCATCGTGATGCTAGACACGACTAATGTTGGCATAAGTGGTGCTGCCGACACCAGGCAGATCGCCCCTGGTTGACTAGCCCCCTCAGATATTTCTCCAGAAGCATCAAGCTTTGTGAGGACGAAAGGCCTAGTACTTCTTTCACAGGCCGGGCATGTCCCAGGGTCCAGGATTTGCACCAGGTCTTCAATTTTGCACAAGTTATCGATGTTCTGCAGCATTCGTTTCCTCTGCTTCGCACATGACAACGAACGGGCAACAGACGGCCACCACTTGAGATGGTATCTTTCCAGCTTACGGCAGACTTGGCCAGAAGCGCGCCGCGAAGCATAAAGCCAGACCAGGAGAGATCTTGCAGAGACTTATCGTCGAAAACTCATGAATTGCAGGGGCTTTGAGGCCACCTCAAAGAGATTCAACGAGTGCTGGGCATGCGGATCCGTGGCAGTAAGCTGATACTGTCAATCACGAACACTTACTCGGTCGGCAGAGCGGCCGTCAATATTATCGAAGAGGAGAGTTAGTCTACAGCGGACATGAGATAAGCATAAACCGAGGTTGGATCTGCAGAACGATAGGGGACACGAGAAAATGACAACCCCAAGATCAATGTCCCTTCGCCAAACAAGTAATTTTGACCGTGGCTCGTGTTACCGAAATGTTCTTGATGCATGATCCAGGGGTGCAGATCCTCTCCCTCGATGCTCCGACCGTCCCACAATGTCCCGTCTTGCCACCACCACCACATCCAGATGAAGAAAGTACATCTGGGTTTGCGTTCGGTTTTGCGATCGGGTACCTCCGTCTTCTTGTCACTTGTACTGTAAATCCGTAAAGACCGAGACAAGTTGGTTTGTGTTACTGCAAGGCCGCGACATTGAGAATTGAACTGGATGGGTGCGCGACGATACCCATGGTTTGCCAGCCTAAGCAAATCTACTGCGGTGTCTTCTCGCGTGCTGAACCCCTGTTTCTGAGACGAGAGATCTACAAATCGAATTCGATGTCGGATCCATGCCGCCTGTGATTTCATGCGCACCCGGCTTGCAGTTGGCGCTCTTGGTCGCCCTGGCATGGTCGCAGCGACGCAGCTTGAATTTCTGCTGCAGGGCACATGGGCTTGCTGTGGGCTTGCTGCTTTCCGGTGTCGTCTTCTTTACGTGTACAGCCCTTTAACGGCTCAGTGTCTCGCCACAAGCACTGGATTGGAGGCTCCTTGGAGGCTTTCCCTTTTTGTGGAGATGCTTCCGCCAGTGAAAGTCTCCAGCACTTGCTTGGTAAAGCTCTGGCAGATTCTCTCTTATGAAGGAAAGGGGGGTCCTGGGAGCTTTGGAAGATGCTTCCCTTTTTCGGTCGTCTTGGACATGCGATGAAAGGCTGACTGCAACAGTGTGCATTGATGGCGAGCCGCGAAAGAGAACGTTCTGGTGGCGCAGTTCAGCCGTTACCACGTCCTAGGTGGGGTACTTCCAACACGATCTTGCAGCGACAGTGGGTGCTTCCCAATTGGCTGCTGGGCTGTAAGATTTTGCGCATAGGTCGAAATGACTGGGCTCTTTCCGATCCATTGTGAATGAGCTTTGCCTGCATGTTGAGGCCCTACACCGTGGCGGCCACCTTTTTTAGCGCGCAGCTTCTCGGACCTGTCAAACAAGTATATCGGCCGGGATCTGTCAAGTCCGTCGCCCTTACCAGCAAAGCGGGCTAGCGTGCGTGTGCAGGTGCCGGACAGTGCACCACCAGGGTTGAAAGACTGTCTGCCCTTCTAGAGTTGTCTCTCTTTCTGCAGATGAGGTTCTTAGTTGGCATTTTCATCGTCCTGTCCGTCCTGCGAATGATTCCGGGAACAAGCGGTCGCGGGCTCTGCTCCAATTGTTTGTGCCGGTCCTGGCACATGTTGCACTCTGTTGCAACGGTGGGATCAGCCTCGCAAGGTGCCCCGGGTATGAATGACTTGGAGCATGTTCGTCGTTTGCGGCAGGCAATGGTGAGTACGAATTGAGAGTTCCACTCCGCAGTGCTAGCTTTCGTTCGGCTTCTGTTTTTTGCTGGACAACTTCAGTCTCCCTCTTTCGCTTGAGCTGCAGAGGTCGCTTCGATTATGACCTTTGTGAGCTGTGTTTGCAGCGGCCGCATGGCTGAGAGATGCTTCAGCTTTGCTCTGAAGGGCAGCGCCGATGACCCAACACAGTCGTGGGTATTTGTATGTCATTGTATGTATTAAATGCATTGGATGTAGGATGTATGGTATGTTAAGTTCCCAGTCGCTCCCTCCCTTCCAATGGGATCCGCTCCGCCGCCCCCTCATCCATGTGCCAGCCATGCTCGCCCTTCCCTCAAGCCTTAAGCCTTTCCGTTTTGAAAAACCATGTGAGAAGCCGTGTCGCTGGCCTTTGCCATGTGCCCTCCTGCTAGTGGCCTGTTATGGGCCGTGTCGCTCCCTGCTCCATTCACGGGGGACTTGGGAGGCGGGATAGGGAGACCCGTGAATGCGGACAAAAACATACTGTACAGATTGAATGCTTTGAATCAGCGTATCTATTGTGTATTGTGTGCATTGTAGTACTGTGTGAGGAGTATGTAATGTATGTAACTATGCAAGGAACGTAATGTATGTACTGTGCACTTCCCGCCGAGTGTGCGGCTCTAGTGCTGCTTGTGGAATCTGAAACCTCGCTTGATGCAATCGAGAGCCAGGGCCCAACAAATCTAATTATGTAAGGCAAGGTATGAAATGCGTGTAATGTATGTCTGCAGTGCATATGGTGTATATGCAATGTACGTGATGCATGTAATGCATGCCATGTACGGAGTGTACGTACTGAAACTCATGCAATACTGGAATGTAAATCTACATAATGTATGTAGTGGGTGTAATGTATGTAGCGAACACTGGCTGGTTGGCTGGCTGACGAATTGAGCGAGTGGGATGAGAGAGTGGTGCGAATGAATGAAGGAAGGAATCCATGAATGCATGAATTGAGGCAAAAAACAACTGAATGAATGAATGAATGACTGCGTAAGCGAATGAACGAAGGAATGGATGGAATGACCTCGGTGAACCAATGAACGAAAACGCTTGAATGTGCTGCAGAAAGTGGTGGCTCCAGCCGTTTGATTCGAGATTTCAGGATTCGATCCTAGACTCCGACCTTTGTGTAGTCGTGTTGGGGCAGATGGCTAACCTGACTTCCTGCATTGCGTACACCCGACGTTCGTGTCACAAACTTGGGCCAGTGATACCTCTTCGAAGCTCGCGCCAGTTGGATGGGATGGCATGGAACGGGGCAAGACGAGACGGGATGGATGCATGCATGGATGGATGGATAGATGGATGGATGGGTGGCTGGATGAATGAATGAATGCATGAATGAGGTGGGAGGAATTGAATGCTGGAAGGGAAGGAAGGGATGGAGGGATGGATGGATGCAATGAATGCATGCCGGCATGCGAGCATGGATGGGTAGATGGATGGATGGATGCATACATGGATGGATGGGTGACTGGATGCATGAAGGTAGGTAGGTAGGTACGTTGCATGTTTGTATGTATGTATGTATGTGCGTATATAATGGAATGTAGTGGAACACAGGTGTTGCAAAACACGTTAAGTTGAGGAGACGAATGTCATGTAGTGTAATGTAGCACAATGCATGTTATGTATATGCTAATGTATGAAGGTAGGTATAGAGCTATGTATATA